TTCTCTCTCTCTCTCTCTCTCTCTCTCTCTCTCTCTCTCTCTCTCTTTCCGCTGTTGTTTATTAACTGCATATTCTTCTTTGCGTTTATTCTACTTTCTTTTCTTCATTAGCATCTTAGTAAAAATCAAGAAAAATAAATAGCCCTATCTTCTTTCTCCCTGTATGCATTTCTTGATTTTAATTCATCCGTTTGCTTATTCTGATAAACGCGCCAATTGCAAACTGCCGCGAGGATTGACCAGACGGGCTTCCAGAAGTTTTTAATTAGATCGCCGTCTCTTCTTTCCTTGGCGATGTTTCCAACAGCGTTGATGTGATCAGAAATAAGATTCGTCGCCCTGGGCATGGTATTCGCACAGGCGATGTCGAAATCTCGTCGGTTTTTTAAGAGGCTCTTTCTAATCGCCTTCCTATCCTGTTTTTCTCTGACGTCTCTTGCTTATCCCTCAGCGATCCCTCACCTGATTTTGAGCTTCACTCCTCGTTCTCTCTCTCGCTTACTGCAGTCGAATGGTGCAAAACGATCGACTCGATCCCTAGCAGATTGGTTTTAACGAGTTTCCTTTCAGTATGGTTTATCGAGGAATTGCGGGCGCTTTTGGCGAGTCCCCGGCCGAATACGCCAGGGAAATTTCTACGGAAGATCTTAATTAAAGACGCCCGCCGAAAAATGAGAGCTCCCCCCGGATTGGGGAGAACAGCGTTATTGCACCGACGTGGCGAATCCGATTATCGCGCGGTCTGATCTATTAACTGTGTGTACGTAGCTTAAGGGGATTCGCAAAAGTTGAGCTACGTCGCGCTACCACTATGATTCAGGTAAATACCGATCAAATTTTAATTAAGAGATACTTCACCGGAAGTGAAACATGTATTCGGATACTTGAGACCGAAAGGATAGCACTCGTCAAAAGTCTTGCAAAATAATTGTTCCGACTTAATCAAGTATATCGTAATTTTTTCCACAATCACAAAATAGTATTAAAAAAATATCATTTGTTGTAATATCAATATAATATTATATATTGTGATATACATCAATTTATGAGCATCAAAGCATCAAAAGCTTTTTAGTAATATTTTTTGTATAAAACAGAATCGCTTTCTATGAATATGCATTAAATCACGCTAAATCGAAGTTTGATGAAAATTATTATTTAAAATTGGAATAGAATATTTTATGCGATAAATTGCAATATTGCAAAATAAATCCCGAACTAATAGTCTCCTTTCAAATTCAGTCGCTTAAATTCAACTTATTTTATACCGGTAAGCACCCTCGCACATACACCCACACGCAATTCGGAGATAAGCGCACAGCTGTAAGTCTATCGAGCTTTCAGACGGCAAAAAGTGGAGGAAGCGGAGACGAGATTGGGAGTAGGAGAGAAAAGAAGCCCGGCTTTTAACAGTAAGACGATGGAGGCCGGGACCCGTCTGATAGGAGATTGACGCTCTGGCGTGTGAGAGACCGACGCGGGAGAAAAGAAAAGGGAAACAGGGCTTACTAAACGCGTGGCGAAAAGGGCGTTTTCCTGCCGTTTTCAGATATTTAAATCCGCGCGAACGACTTCGGGGTTCCGCTCGCGGATCACCCCCTACGATACCAAATCGCGAGAGGTGAGGGACTCCAGGCGTGGTGAATCCAGGCTCCTGTCTGGTTGGCACGAATGAGAACGGAAGAAACGTGGCGCAAATGGTAGGAAGGAAGCAAGGCGGTAGGGAAGATATAGGAAGAGTGCAGAGTGAGTTGTTCGAGCGTGACGTGTATTCTTGTCAGGGTGAGGCCGAAAGACGTAGTACACAGCAGACTTTACAGGCCGTTCCCCGGCAAGGAAAAAGAAGACGACGCGAAAGAGCGAGGAAGGAACGAAGGAGAGCGAAGGAGAAATTGTGGAGAAAGAGAGGATATCCCCGGTATGTACTTCTTAATGGTGTGGGTGTGTCGGTGCGGATGGAGGAGTAAGTTTTAAAAACATCCCGACCGACGCGCGCCTCCGTGGTGCTGGTTTTATCGCTGCCTCCTGCTTCCAAGGAGGACTCCTCTTGCTCTCTCTTCCTCCTTCCTCCCTTGACTCCGCTTCGTAAACCCCTATCCGGGCAAAGCCTTACCCTCCGTGGCATCGGAGCACTTGCCTACGTACGTACTGTCGGTTGTAAATCCACCGAAAAGCATCTGCGGGTATCAAGAAACAAGTCCGGGCCGCAAACACGCGCGACGGGTGAGCTTTTAAACCTGCATGAGCGCAGCGTGCAATTTCGTAACGATCTGTGCACGCAGGTGCTCCGGGTGGTACAACGAGAAAAAGTTATCGCTTAAAATACACCCTGCGATGTGCGCTAGAGAGTACTTAGAGCTCTTTTATCGAACGCGTTTGTCATTAATGCACAACGTAGTGAAAACATTCGGAATGAATTTTCATAAGAATATTAGCATAGTGAATGAAAATATAATAAGAAGATGAAATTGATAAGACAAATTTAAATTGTTTTATTATTATTATTATTATTATTAAATATAAAATATATTTTGTTTCTAATTTACGCGTATAATAATAATAATACGAGCTACTCTCATCATAATTCGTATCGTGTTGTATCGAGATTGTAATTAGTGATGATACCAATTCATCGACTGCCTGTCTCGATGAGTATTTGCTCGAGCATACTCGAGTACAGGCCATGTAATAAATTACGTGCAACAAACTTCGAGGCGGCTAAAGAAGGTGACTAAGAGACGTTTTTAGCCTAAGTTCGGCGCTGACGCGAAACTCCTTCTCTCCTCCTCTTTACGATCCTGGCTCGTCTACTTCGACGTTGCCGCGTTCACGTCATTCTGCCGATCTTTTTGCTCGAGATACTTTCTCTTTGACCGACAGGAGTAGATTGGATATTTTTCCTTGTGGCGCACCTGGTTTTTCCTTCCTGCAAGGCGGACCAATGTGTATCGCGTCTGCGGGGGAGAGGGGAGAGGGGGGGTTCGCGCCCCGTTAACGTAGGGTGCGCGCGTTCGCACACGCAGACGAACGGATCGCGATGGTGCCGATGGTGTTACATTTGCAACAGCGAAAGCGGCAGCTTGCCGTTGGTGCGGCGCGAGAAACAAGTCGCCGCATCAACATCCTATTTCGTTTCCCATTACGTAAACGTCTGAAGTACGCGATTTATTTGTTTTATTTTCGTACGGAATGTTCTTTGGCAGGACCTCAAAGGCAACTCGGGCTCGCGTCTCGCTCGTCGTTTCCTCCCAGCTCCTCTCTCTCTCTCTCTCTCTCTCTCTCTCTCTCTCTCTCTCTTTTCTCCCGCAATGGTTGCTCTTGCCGCTCGCATAGCCCTTGTAGACCGACGACTCCTCACATATGATTACCATCGACGTGAAGCTAGCTAATATCCGAATTTTTGCGATTCCTTTTACAGGATATTGAAAGCTATTTTCATCCTTCCTTTTGCCCTGTCTTCTTCCATTCCGAAACTCTGACTTCCCTCTATTGGAATACACGATCTCTTGTCTCTTTATGAATTCATCATAAAAATTCATCGAGCCAAAAATGGCCAAGTATATATTAATCATGAATGAGAACGCGGGATTATTTTACTTTATATAGACTTGTCCTAATTTTCCAGATTAAAAATACGAATTATACGATGCTTAAATCGCGATCCGGTTAAATCGCAAAGACTCGATATCATCATAATATCCACGAATAATAGTTGTATAATCGGCCGTGCACTCTCTGTGATAATACTTGATATTGATGCATATAAATGCGATTCCGCGCGTAACTATGCGTACGTACTCGCAATGGATACGAACTCGCCATTACAATATTAAATCGACACGACGATAACTGCGGCGATT